GATGGGGAAATGAAGATGAGGCCGATGGCATGAGGAGAGGAGGAGGAAGTGAGGAGGGGGAGGAGGAGGAAGTGAGGAGGAGGAGGAGGAACTGAGGAGGAGGAGGAGGAAATGGGGAGGAGGAGGAGGAGGGGGGCATGATGATGATAAGGATGAGGAAGTGAGGATAAGGATGAGGAGTAGCATTCTTCACAAGAGAATGCTGTCGCACGAATGTCACACCGCACGGCTGTAGCATAACTCCATCTTGGCCGAATCCGAGGGCACGCCACCCCAGACCTTCCTCATCCACGAGACCTTCGAAGGTCTCGAGGATCAGGGTGCGGATGAGGATGAGGATAAGGATCCTCGTCCTCATCCGCATCCTCATCCGCATCTTGTTTCGTCCCCATCATCATCCTCATCCGAACGTGGTCCTCCTCGAGGCCGCCCCCGCCCTCGTCCTCATCCTCACCCTGCTCCTCCTCATCGTCCTCGGCCTCGTCCTCCTCCTGATCTTCCTGCTCCTGCTCCTGCTCCTGCTGCTCCTCCTCCTCCATCTCCTCCTCCTCCTCCTCCTCCTCCTCCTCCTCCTCCTTCTCCTCAGTCCTCCTCATTCTCCACCCCCCCATCACCACGTAGTGCTCGAATTGACGAGCGAGGCGTGCTGGCGCAGCCCTCACGGGGCAGCGGCCGCCTCGTCCGCAGCCGCCGTGCCGAAGTCCGCAGGGGCTGTCTCAAGCTGGGTCTCCGCGGGCGCCTCGTCGCCCTTGTCGTTCGCCTCGAGCTCCTCGCCGCCCTTGTCGGTCCCCTCGAGCTTCTCGTCGCCACTGTCGGTCCCCATCGAGCTTCTCGTCGCCCTTGTCGACCTCGTCGTCGCCGAACGCGCCCTTGACGCCTGTCAGCGCCTTCCTGCAGTCGTTCATCTGCTTCGCCACCGAGTTCGCCTGCATGGCCGTCTCGAGCAAGCTCTTGCCACTCTTGCTGAAGGTGCTGGACCACTTCTGCGTGCTGTGGTACTTGACCCATGCCTCCCAGCCACCCTTTGTTTTCGGCCTCTTGTCACAACCCGCCCTGTAGTCGCCATGGCGCTCGCATATCGAGCGAGCCTCGATGAACATCTTCTCGAGATCATCATCAGCTGGGGCCTCCTCCGTCCTCTTCGTTCGCTTGGTGTCCACCGCCGCTGCCTTCGCCTTCGCCTTCGGCTTGCGCTTCGTGCCGCCTGCCTCGTCGCCGCCAGGCGCCTGCATCTTGTCCCGCGAGCCCTTGCCCAGCGCAGCACCCTTCGAGGCTGTGGCCGCCGCGGACTTGCCCTTGCCAACCTTGGCCTTGCCACACTTGGCCGTGCGCCTGCCCTTGTCCGTCGAGCCCGCCTTGGCGAACGGGATCGGGGGCGACGCGATCCACCTGTCACCGTCCAGCCACGTGAAGCACGTGTTGCCGTCAATCTCGAACTTGTCCGTCGACCGCTTGCCGTCCTCGGTGCGGATGCAAAAGCCACCCTTCACCACGTACTCAACATGCTCTTCGGGATAATCCAGCTCGTGGGGCTCCTCCTCCTCGCCTTCCTCGTCGCAGGACGCCAAGGCAGGAATGACGTCCTGGGTGGGGTGGTGGGGGGGGCCCTCCTGCTCCCGCTCACCCGCCTAACCTGGGGTGCCCCAGGGCCTTGCATAACGAATTCGCGCGGGCAGCCCGCCCGAATTCGTTATGCACTACTTGTTTGGTCGAGTCCAGCCTTTCGCCTGGCATCTCCCGCCTCTCCCTATCCTTGATCCGCATCCTCCTCTCCCTCCTCACCCCTGGCCCTCATCATGCCCATCATCCTTCTCGTCCCTCCTCTTCCTTCGCAATGCTCGCCTCCACCGTTCTCCCCCATCCTCATCCATCCTCCCTTCTCGTCTTCCCGTCTCCTCCTCCTCATTCGCCTCCTCTCCTCCTCATCCATCCTCACCTCGTCCTCATCCTCCTCCTCGTCATCCTCGTCATCCTAAGCCTCACCGTGCGTTTTATTACCCTCCTCATCCTGGTCTTCCCTCGTCTCCTGCGCGTTCTTCCCCTTGCTGGACGGCGACGGCTCGGTGCCCTTGCCCGACTGCAGAGACGTGGTGCCTTTGCCCTTGCTCTTGCCCGTGCGCTTGTCGCCACCTCGGAAGCCGAGATGCGATGAGGGGGAGGATGAGGGTGATGAGTTGGAGGGCGATGGGGCGAGGAGAAGGGCGACGACGTGGAGATGGGCAGGGAAGACGATCAGCACGAGGATGAGGATGGCGAGGAGGACGAGGAGTCTGAGGGTGAGGACGGCGATGTGCACAGTACTGAGGAGAGCGAGGATATTGAGGATGAGGATAAGGAGGGTGAGGGTGATGCAGAATCAGGAATGAGGATGTTGAGGATGAGGATGAGGAGAGGAGGACGATGATGAGTGGAGCGAGGATGCGGACGATGATGAGGAGGATGATCAAGATGATGAGGATACGGAGAGCGAGCATGATACGGATGAGGAGGAGGAGGAGGAGGAGCAGGATGGTGATGACGATGACGGGGAGGTGGATGAGGATGAGGATGAGGATGAGGATGCTGGAAGCGAGGGTAATGAGGATGAGAAGGGCGAGGATGAGGATAGCGAGGAGGATACTGATAAGGATGAGGGTGAGGAGGATGAGGGTGACGAGGGCGGGGATGATGCGGATGAGGGGGGCGAGGCGATTGGTGAGCCTGTCGCGCTCACGTCCGACTGAAGGCTGTCGTCCGAGAGGTCGTCGTCGTCGTCGTTGAACATGGCGTTCATGAAGTATGATCGGGCTGCAATGTCAGAACTACCACCAGCAGGACCACCTCCTTTCGATTGCATGACCTGCATCAGCTGCGGCGGGATGGTGTAGTTGTTACTGGGTGTGGTTTGCATTCCCCCACCCCCCTCCAAGCACTCGTACTCCTACGCGTACTCCGAGCCCCACTGCTACTCATGCTCATGCTACTAGTACTCGTACCCCTAGTCCTATTCGTTTTCCAACTCGTACTCATACTCGTATTCCTACTCGTACTCCTACTCGTACCCCGTCCCCCCGCCACCCCCTCCCCCTACTCGTACTCCTACTCTCATTCCTAACCGTACTCGTATTCCTACTCGTGCTCCTACTCGTACTCCTACTCGCACTCGTACGCGTACTGGTACACCCTTCCCCCGCTACCCCATCCCCCTAATCGCGTTCCTACTCGTATTCCTAACCCTCCTCGGACTCCTCCTACTCCTCATACTCCTACGCGTCCTCCTCCTCCTCCTCCTCCTCCTCTTCCTCCTCCTCCTACCCCTCCTCCTACTCGTCCTAGTGTTACTCCTCCTCCTCATCCTAGTTTGACCATGGGCTCCTGATGACCCGCCTCCACCCAGCTACCATATCCAGGATCTTCCTGGCCTCCTCCATGCACTTCAGCTGGGAGAACTTTGCCCCGATCACCTGCAGCACAGCACCTTCCCAGTCCGTTAGATCGATGCGCAAGTTCGCACTGACCGCCTCACACACTTTCAATGCTTTCCACCAGCCACTGGAGAGGATGTACTCTGGGAGGCCCTTGCATCGCTTTTTGCCGCCCGTGTTCCACGAGCACAGCGTGCCAGTACTGAGCGAGGCTGGCGGCAGCTCATGGAGCGCGCGCGCGAGACCAGCCTGCACCTCCAAGCTCATGGGACGAACGCGAGGCCAGCCAACAGATCCTTGAACCTGAACTCTACTGTCGTCGTCGTTCTCCCTGGCCTTCAGATCGTCTGAGCCCGACTGGTCGATCACCTCGTCGTCGTCGTCGTCGTTCTCCAAGACGACCCCCAAAACGACCCTCCACCGTCGGCGCCCCAGCTGGGACCCCCATGGCCTGCCGCCCAATCCCGAGATCCAGGAGGAACCCCCAGACCCCAAGACCCCAAGAGAACCCCCGAGACCCCCGAGGAACCCAAGACCCCAGGATGAACCCCGAGACCCCAAGACCCCAAGAATACACCAAGACCCCAAGACTAGATCGAACCATGACGGACACGACTATGATGTGGAACAGAAGATGAGGGATGACGATGTATATTATGGATGTAATATGATATAGAGTTAGAAGGTCTTTAGGTTTTGAAAGTGACCAATGATCGCGTGATCGCATGCACACGCTCATGTGCAAGACGAAGAAGACAAACCAAGCGAAAGCAGACAAAACAAGACAAAGCAGACAAAACAAGACAAAGCAGACAAAATCAGACGAAAACAGCTTCCAGACCTTCCGCGCGGAAGGCATGGAAGGTGGAGAGTCAGGGAACACGGGGCGCCCACGAACGCCCACGAGGCGGAGCGCGAGCATGGCGAAACTTCGGTGGACCCATCAAGGGCATAGGGTGCCAACGAGCGCCAACGAGGCGGCAACGGGCGCGAAGGCGGTGAAACCTGGGCAGCCCCACCCAGGGCGCCGGGCGCCTACGAGCGCCCACGAAGCGGCACGGGCGCGAACGAGGCGAAACCTGGGCGGTCCCATCCAGGGCGCCGGGCGCCCATGGAAAATCGAGACTGGCTGCTGTTCGGGGCCCTCGTGGGGGTCCTCTTGCAGCACTCCTTGGGTGTGTTGGCAGCCTTTTGGGCCGCTCGGAGTTCGTATGGGGCGTCTTGGAACGCTCTTGGACCGTCTTGGGGCCTTCTTGGGCCGTCTTGGGGGCATGTTGGGATCCTCTTGGTCCGTCTTGGTGCCCTCTGGGTTGTGAGACTCGGGCGACAACCGGCGACCGGCTCCAGGAGGCACGCGTCAAGCCCCCCCCCCGATTTGGGCCTCTGGGCCCTTCAAACAGTATTAAGGCATTCGATACATAATGCTCTGAGGGACTTGAGGTCACTCCGCTCAGTGACTCGCGGCAAGCTGGCGGGTTTATGATGAGGAGGGATGGAGCATGAGGTGTGGGGAGTTCCGTGGGTGTCGTCGTCGTTCCGTTCGCGGCGCTCTTGCCGAGCCCGGCCAGACTCTCAGCGAGCCGCCGGCTTCCCGAGGTCCCACATCATCACCGCTGGCGGCCTCGGCGGGGTCGTGATGTTCTTCCAACTCCCCCTTTTCTTCCCCCTCCACCTTGCCCCCCCCCCCCTCCCTCCATCTCGCTCCTCTCCTCCCTCCCTCCCCCCCGTCCTCCCCACTCCTTCCGAGAAGGGAGGAGGTGGAGGATATGGGGAGTGTTAGAGGGGTCAGGAGTGGGAGGATCGGGGAGAGGGAGGGAGGAGGACAGAGGTTCAACGACGAGAAGCTGAAGGACAGGGCCCTCATGTTCCGCGATTGGGGCCGGATTGGCAACAATTCCGAGGACATGTCGGAGCGGTTCGGCCACAGCGTGGACGGTATAGATTACGACTTCAAGTTTTTGTACGGTTGTTGGGGGCCTTGGTGGTGTTATGATTCCCCTTTCTCACTCTGTTTGTACAATGTGCGCCCACGCGCTAGTGTTTCTGATCGTTCCTAGCTCAGCCATGGGAACAGGAACAATTGCCCCGCTGCAGACACGATCATGAGAGATAGACCGAAGACGCCAGCCGGAAGCAGTCGATCCCGAGTGGCCAGGCATTGAGGCACAGTCGTCGTCTCATCTTGAAGGCATTTGCTAAGAGTCAGGCCGCCCACGGTGGCTAGCGCAGTGATCGGTGGCGTTGGCGTGCAACGATGTGCCCAGGCCTGGGACCACCACGCGAGCCACGCCATCAGACCACTTGCGCCTCCATCACACGAATTGCACAAGCCAGCTTCAGGCAGCACCGCCCAGCAAACACTTCACTGCGTCCACGTGCTGATCTGCATATTGTGTGACCAGTCGGAACGAAGGAGTCCGGAGTCTCCCCTGGCTGACAGCGCCATGTGCCAGTCATGTTGAAGTTCGGTGTTGCTGCGCGCCCCCCCGGGAGAAGGAGGCGAGGACGAGGAAACAGAGGAGCGCAAGGATGAGAAGGAGCGAGAGGATGCTGCAGCTTGCAGCCTCTCTTGATCTGGTGTGTCATGTTCCATGACGTCACTCACCATGAAGGAGCGCGCGACCACAATTTGTACTAGGTCGCACGGGCGTGGTCGATAACTCTCCAGCCGTGGAGACATTGCTATGGATGAGCGGGTCATTTCCTGCCGATGCATCGGGGGGACATGGTATGCAAGACGTGTCGGAGACATGCGGTCATGAGATGACTGGTAACGTTTTACTTTGGCACGGTACCTGGGTTGTCTTCCCAGGCTGCGTCGGCTACAACATGAAAGCGTGCGAGATGAATGCTGCGTTCGGGCTTGCGCAGCTGGAGAAATTGGACAGGCTGCCTCCCGATGCAGCTGAGGAAAGGAATACCAGGAGGAAGTGAATGACGACGGCGAAGACGACGGCAGCGACATGTACAAGGCTCGCACTGGGGTGTCAACCAAGTGGGAGAAGCATCGCAGGGGGGCGACGCGAAACCGAAGTCTTGTCTGTACGCGATTCGGTCAATGCTTTACTACAGATTTGCAGGATCGAATTTGTGAGCTGTGGAGAAATACGCGTGCAGTACAATATGCGTATGTGTGCACAAGACTGCATTGGCGCTTGCGCCATACGCCTTGTTCCGGACGCTTCCCCGGCAAAGCAATACATCATCGTTTGCTTCAGCAGGGGGGCCCTCGAGGCCTGTGGGGGCGACCGGGCCATTTTTCGGATATCCCTGGTGCCTGCTGACACCGCGTTCGCCCGATGCGCTTGCACACTTGTGCTCAGTAGCGGGGAGCGAATGATTTTTTTGTTTTTTTCACGCGCGAAGGTAGTTTGTGGAAGTAAGGAGCGTTCCCATGACACGCCGTAAAAGTCGCAGCAGCTTCGAAGACATCGTTTTCTGTCGCCTCCTAAATGCCATGGGGGGCTCCAGGCACTCAGGAAATCTTCGATCGTCGACCTTCGAATCTAGATCCATTGCCTGTCTCTCTCGATCGAGGAATGGAAACCTCGAGCCTCAAGCGTGGAACCAAGATCGTCGGGTCAGCTCGATGTACTTCGTAAAAGAACGCCGTCTTGGCGTGTTTTTTAGCTCTTTTGGGCAGTTCTGGGGCCCGGCCGTCCTGGGGCCTTCTTGGGCCGTCTTGGGGAGTTGGGGCCCTCCAGAGGTCTTCTGAAGCCATCCATCGATGGAGGTAAGACTTCGGCGGCCGTGTTGGGCTCTTCTGGAGGCCCTCTTAGGGTCCTCTTGGGGCTCTCGCGCGGCCCGCTTGGAGCTAGTCTTGGGGTCCTTGGGGCTTTTTTGGAGGTGTTGGGGTTCTCGTGGGATCCTCTTGGAGGGCTTTGGGGATCCTTGAAGGGCCTCTCGGGGCCATCTTGGAGGGCGTCCATCAAAAGACGGGGTGTCCCCGAATTCGTTCTCACCTCTGGGACCATCAGCATCGCCTTTTGGTGATCTCTTTGGGCGCTCTTTGCCCTGGGGATTCATTGGGGGCCTCTCCTAGGGCTCTCGTGGGCTATCTTGAGGCTTCAAGCCCGCATCGGAGGCGAAAGGCAAACAGCATGGATGTTTTGTTGGCAGTGTTTGAAGGATGTTGGCCTCTTGGGGAAGTCTATGGGGGGGCTCCGAAAGTATCTGGAGCCGTCTTTGGGTCCTCTTGTGGCCTCTTGGAGGCATATCGGAAGTCTAGGGCCCTGATGACTCCAAGACGGTCCCAACCGGCCCCCAAGACACATCGTGACACAGATTCGGCTGTCTTGAGCCATCGTGAAGGGGCACGTTGGAGCATCGGGTGCCCTCTCGGGGCTTTCTTGGGCCAAGAAGCACCCTCTGACACATCGCGGGGGGGCGCAGACAACCCAAGGAAAGTGGGGAGGTGTGGGTACCTATCCTCGAAGGGAGGAGGTGCTGTGGAACAGGGAAGAGAAGCATGGTTAGACCACCTTGGTCCAGAGGGCTGGTGGGATTATTCTCGAACGGGCCGTTGCTCTTCAGCTCAATCAGTTTGCAGAGTCCAGGGATGCACCTATCAAAATGCATCCCTCAGAAGTGCTCGAGCGTCTTTGCCGGCCGACCCCCAGATGAGTTCGAATCTGACGTTTCAAGAGCAGTCTGGCCTCAAAATAAATAACGATTTTTAGGTACGATTCCCGGAATAACGTTTGGATGTTTCCCCATTTCCAGACGAGCATCACGCAGAGCAGCATGTCCTGCTGCTGCTCGTGCTGCTGTCGTTCTCCAGTACGCTACTTCCGTAGTTATTTAGGATCAAGTTTCCCCCCCGGCAACTTGCCCCAGGCCTTCATGATGCCCTGCCTTGCTGCGCCTGTGGGCGAGCGCACGGGCGAGAAATCGGCCGCCAGTCTGGGCGAGGATGGCTGTGGCCTGGACGCTGCTGTGGCGCAGCTGTTCGAGCGCGGCTTCGCTTTGCTGAGGCTGTCGCAGGACGAGGTGGCTGCCCTGGAGGCCGCTGAGCAGGAGTGCCGCGCTCTTCTGCGGGGGCCTCGCGATCGCAAGGACCTGCTCGTGCACCGCGGGCCGACGCGGCACCCCAGGTGGAATGGCCTGCCCCTGCACGGCGCCGGGTTCGTGTCCACCCCGGCCTACGGAGGTCGCGAGCAGTTCCATTACATTTGCGGCGCCGCGGACGTGTGCCCGTGGCCCAGCGACGACTGGCGCACTACGTTCGAGAGGGGTTCGGAGGTGCTGCAGGGGCATTGTCTTGCCTTGCTGGAGAGGCTGGACCCAGCCGCGTTGATTGATTGGCGAAAACAAGCTGAGCAGGCCGGAGATCCCTCGGTGTGCGACGCTTTCTTGTACCCGAGCTTGAACAGCGGGAGCGAACGTATCCCTGCCCAGGATGGTCGGCCACTGTTGAGCGAGGGCGCAGCCGCAAGGCGGGAGGCAATGGGCCGCCACTTCGATCCAGGCTGGTTGACCATCAAGAAGGGTTCGCTGGACGGCGGTCTCGAGTTTTGGGACCGCTGCATGGACGCGTGGACCAACGCAGAGGAAGCGGAGTTCTATGTCGCCCAGAGCTGCCATACGCCGAAGGACGTGGCCGTGGTCTTTGCTGGTGAGCGCTTGGAGGCTTGGACCGAGGGTGCCGTGCCCGCTGTGCCACACCGCGTCCTGAGCCCAGCAGGCGGCGCGGACCGCTTGAGTTTCATCTTCGAGCTACGCGACCACGCGTGCTGAGCGCCAAGGACCGCTGTCGCGCCCTGGCTTGCCCCTTGGCTCGAAAAACATCCATTTGGTTGCTTCTCCTGCTGTCTCCTACGCCTGCTGATCCTCCTCGTGCCCCCCCCCTCCTCCTCCGTCCCTCGTTCTCCGGAGTTCGGTCCTCGTTTGCCCGATCGCGGTGCGCCACCTGCCACGTGCGCGTCTCCAAACATTCTCGTCGTCCTCCTTGATCGTGTCCTTATTATTATTTGTCTCGTTCTTCTTCTTCTTCTCCTCCTCCTCCTTCTCCTCCTACTCCTCCTCCTTCTCCTCCCAAATCCCCCATGGGGAGGCGGGGACGAGCCCAGGGGTAGGGGGCGAAGCGGTGACGAGCTGAAATGGGAAGGGCCCATCCAGAAGTATTCACCAACACATCAACACCAGCATTGAAGGTCTCAACCGCAGTTCTGCCAGAGCTGTAGCCCAGCATGTCCTGCTAGCGTCATCCGAACTCACCCACGTGGGGAACAGCTGTCACCCTCCACGGCCGTATACAGCTGAACGCGATGCATTTCTGCGGCTGTCTGGAGGTCCGCGGCACGCTATTCCCGCCCCAGTGGCACGGCACCTCAAGTATTCCAGGCTCCCGATCGAAGCATTCCAATTATTTTGGGTCACTCAGGCTGCTCAACATTGCTGTGCCAGTCAATCGGCAGACTTTGCACGAGCCGAACGGTCATCATACGACTACGATTGCACCGACGAATGCACTATCTGTTTGGAGTTGCAGGGGCTTTGGAACTTGTACAGTTGTTATAATCTTACACGGAATTGCCGTGCGATGACTCCGACATTTCTGATTTCTCTTCTTGGTATTTCGAGAATCGAGAACACAACCGACTTGTTATCCACGATATCACCCCCATACTTGGCACGTCTTTTCACGTTGTATGCAACACTGTGTTTGGGGGCCTTCCAAGGCTGTGCTGGGAGCATCTTTGGCCGTCTTAGTGCCCATTCGGCCACCTTGGGCCGGTCTCGGGGACCGCTCGGCCCGAAAAGGCGAGAGCTCGAACATCATGCAACAAAGTATGCAACATCTATGTTTTTTGTTCCTTTCGAGGCCCTCTTGGGGGTCCTCTTTTGGGCCTCTTGGTTGTCTTGAAGGCGTTTGGGGTCGTCTTGGGACCATCTTGAGTGTTCTTGAGATCTCTCCTGCGTGTTGGAGCCCTTCTGGAGTCATCTTAGAAGTCATTCGGGGCAATCTTCCGGCCACGGAGGATGGACTGGGAGGCTGCGAAGGCTTGGGAGGAGCGCCGGGAAGTTCCCGCTGGACCCACGGAGGGCGCCTCAAACAGAGTTATGGATTTCCATAGAGGGGAGCAGGTGTGGCAAATTGTTTCACACGCCTTTTTCTCACCCCCAGCAAGCGGGGGCCGGCGGATTTTGGACATTGGCCTAGCTTCTTCTTCCCCTGTTCTGTCCTCGTTTCCCGCTGCACAGTCTGCAACGGTTGGCCCACAAGCCGTGCCTCTTCGGCGGTGTCTCTTCTGTGGTGCGGTCCAGGGAGGCTCCCTCTATCATACCATTTTTGTCAGGCCCTTGCTCGCCTCTGCTCCTTCCTTCCCGCCCTCACCGCTGGTTGTCTCACATCTTCCGCCGACGCTCGCATGCCTGTTCTATTGTTGCCGCTTCCGCTCGCTGCTCGTGCTTCGGTTGTGCGTTACATACATGTGGCATATCGTATGTATCACACGCGTAGATCTAAGGGGCGGCGGGTCCAGCCAAACACAACAGTGGGTATGGCGCGAGCCAGGCTCCGAGCTCGTAAAGATAAGACCTCTGCCCTCGCCAGCGTCTCCCTGGCCCAGAGCTCAGGAGATATGGCGTCCCCTTGGTGAGTTCCCCCCTCACTCTGCGATGTCTCATCTCCAGTTGATTGCCAACTCCCGCTCATACAGCCCACCGGGACGCTACCCAGAACGGCCCATCCCTCGTGCATGCTGGACGTGCTGCCGCTCCTCTTCCTCCTCATCTTCCTCCTCCTCCTCCTCCTCCTCCTCCTCCTCCTTCTCCTACTCCCAAATGCCCGCGTCTCCCCCTCCTCCGGCGGCCGCTCGCTTGCCAGTAGGCGTCCCCCCGCGTGGCCCAGCGTTGTGCGCGGGGTAGGTTCCGCGCCATGCGCGCCCGCAACATCAACCGCTACGTGGAGAACCTCAGGAGTCTTCGGCACCTCCAGGGGTGGGGGGAAGGTTGCGGGGCCGCGGAGTGCCTCCGTCATTTTGTGTGTTGCTGACCGCTGCGCTCACCTCTGATCCTCTCTCCTCCCCCCCTCCCCTTGCGGGAACAGGAGGATAGGGGTTTGTGTGTGTTTGTGCGTGTGTGTGTGTGTGTGTGTGTGTGTGTGTGTGTGTGTGTGTGTGTGTGTGTGTGTGTGTGCGTGTGTCCTTGCTCGTCTCCTCTCACTTCCCCCCCTCCCCCCCCGCCCCCGTGGACCTTTGCGTAGTCATAGTGCGGTTGCCTGAAGATGAAGCATGCGCCACCCAGCTCGGTGGATGCGTGAGGGCCCTGCGCGGTTTACCTTGCCCCGCCAGTCTGAGTCCGCCGTGTCGCTGCGTGCGCAACCGCTCTGCCAAAACATGTGTGTGTGTGTGGGGGGGTGAATGCGACTGTATGCGCGTGTGTGCGTGAATGTGCGTGCTGCGTTTCATGTGTACGTGTGTTATGTTGTGTGTTGTGCGTTAGGTTGTGTGCACGTGTGTGCAGGCGTGTGCTTGTGTGCATGTGCATGTTGGAACCCTATAAAGGACCGACGGGCCCCAAAGGGTGACCTACGAGCTCGGGCAATTGGTCAGAAGTCCCCGCGTAACTGGGCGGCACCCCGTCCGCTTGACGCTCCGCTCTTCTCGTTGTTTGCAGGGTTCGCTCGGATCGTGGGCAGATGATGATCTTGCAGTGCCGCCCCACCGGCTACGATGATGGTCGTCGTCCTCCTCCTTCTCCTTTGCATTTTCCACCTAGTTGCTGGGTGGTGATCGTCAACAGTGCGACGCTTTCGCAGCCAACGCCGGGTCTCTCAGTTTCTGGTGCATCTCACCTTCCGAGAAGAGTTGTTGACCGGGTTATTTGACGGCCGGTTGGAACTCACATTGAGATCGAGCCTCTGCGGATTCGCAAATCGTTCGGCTGCGCGCGTCGTGCACCGTTGGCAGCTACGACGGACGGCAGCCGCAGCAGCTGCGACGGCAGCTTCGACGGACGGCAGCTGCAGCGGCAGCGGCAGCAGCCGCATCGGCCGCAACCCGAACTTCGGCAGCCCCTGGTGCACTCGCAATCTCACGAGCGCGGCGCTGCGTGATTCTCGCCATGGCACTTGAATTTGGTTTCTTGCACGCGCTCTTCAGATTTCGTCGACAATCAGTTGCTCGCCGCAAGCTTGTCAACGGGCTGCGGGTGCTGCGAGGGCTCGAGATCGGACTGCGTGGACTGCGAGGGCTCGGCCGACGTCTTCGGGGAGTCCTCGACCTGGATCGGCGTCGGCGGCGCGCACTCCCTCGCGGCGTCGAAGATGGGTAACGAATCCATGCCAGTCCGCTGTCGGTCCTCGAGATCCCAATGACCTCGCTCAAGCGGCTGCATCTGGGAGTCTGGCACCGTCGAGGCCTTCGGGGGGGGGAGAATCCAGAACTCGCGAACTGAGGGATGGCAGCTAGGTTGAAAACGGACCAGCCCTCACGCGCTGAGTTCCATGGGAACTCGCGAGCGCAACCATCAGATGGACCCTCCATCTAAACGTTTAGATATCTGCACTGGGGAAGGGGGACGGAGAATGAAGAGGTAAAAGTCTGGTCGCTGTCGGATTCTCTGGGGCTCCAGGGCGGGGAACCAACAACTGTGTCGACGGGCCACGCGCTCTGGTTCTGAGGGCCGCGGCCCAGTCTTCGACGTCGCTCAGGGGTTCATCACATTCAGGATCCTGGGCTTCCGAAGGGTGCTGAACAGAAGTCCAGAGGAGGAGATGGCACCTGAGGACGGGGAGGAGGAGGATGAACAGGAGGAGGAGGAGGGGGAGGAGGAGGAAGATGAGGAAGAAGGAGGCAGAGGAGGAAGAAGAAGAAGAAGAAGGAGACAGGGAAGAAAAAGGACACGGAAAAACACCCCCATCTTCTTTCCACCTCTCCTGAGCCTCCGCGGGTGCCGAAGCCGCCGCGGCCCTCGCGGCCGAGCGCGCAGACGAAGCCCTCAGCGTAAATGGCGGCGCCATGAAGCGTCTCTGGGGTTGTGCGTTCCGAAAACTCCTTGCGAGCACCTCGCGAAATGCTCGCGCCCCGCTGGCTGCGAGCGTGGAAGAACAGAATGCTGAAAACACGGTGGCATATGAACATCCACCGCCCGCGATGCGGGCAAATGGCAGGCGCGCCGAGACCAAATCACAGACATGTCGCGGGCAAGTCGCGGGCAATTCGCTACCGTATACAAGCCGTTCGTTGATTCTGTGCTACGAAACGTGTCACAAGTATTGAAAGCCATCTGATGTTGTTAAACGATTAAAAATCAGCTAAAACTGAAACTATTGAAACTACTTGAAAGTATTTCAAACGTTCGAAATTATTTCCGGTGTCTTTTTTATTGTTTTTTGGTTCACTTTTTCTGAGGAGAAAGACTTTTGCGTTCGGGAAAGGCGCGGGTGAAGGGCGAGGTAAGTTCAAAACCAATGCCGCGGGCTCAGGCCGCCGAGGCAACCTGCTGGGCCCGGGCGGGGTGCGTCTCAAGCGCCGCGAGTGCGACTCTGGGGAGCACCTCGTGCGAGACTGCTTTTGGCGCCGCCGGCAAGGGCGAGACCTCTTCTTCGGCGCCCCGGCCTCAGCAGCGCCGCCATAACCGCCGACGTCTTCGCTACTTGCACATCCGAGACAACAAAGGGCGCCTGGACCAGCCGCCAAGCAGCCCTCGCTAGGCGCGCGCGCGGCCTGGGTGCCAGGGGCACTTCCGGAACTCCCGGACCAATCCTTGGGGGCCCCGGCGACGGCGACCCCGCGCAGAGCGCCGGCCCCTGGGGCGGCGGGCGACCGATTCCGGCGGCGGCAGCGCTTCGGTTAGCCACTGTTCCGCCAAGTGTGTCGTTTGATGGTTCGTGGCAAGCAGTTGGCCACGACCATTTCTTTGGCTGGGCATGGACTTCGCCCTCTTTACCCTCTCCCAGCCCGCGCGAGGCCGACCTGTGACGACTGCGTCGAAAATTGTTGAGCTCGTGAGCAGCGTGCATCAAGACTCTGCTCAACCTGCGGGATGCGGCTAATTGCTATGTTGCTGGCCCGCGCGGCAGGAGTGTGGAACCCAGCGCCCGCCGCGCCTGCGGCACCTGCAGCTTCAGCTGCATGTGCAGCACCGCTGCTCTTGCCGCCGCGCTGGGCCAGAGTGGCCGGCGCTTCCCTCTGGAGCAAGCCCGAGCGCGCGACCGGGCGAACGCCGTCAACGCCCGTGTCGCCGCGCGCGCGACGCCGCCTGCCGACGCGCAAAATGCCGAGCTGCGCCCACGCGCTATCAGTTTCAGCCCTCGGCATCTGCCCGTCACGTGGATCCAGCTCCACGCGGCCGCCGCAGTCCGCGCCAGCTGCCGCATCGCATCGCTGCTAGCGCCAGAGTCTCTCAACGATAAGGCTTCCATCGGAGCGCCCCCGTCGAGATAAACCAGCCATCTGGGAGAGCGGCCGCGTGGTTCGCCAGCCGCGAGACCTGAGCGTCGAGCGGCGGCCGATCCGAACGCGGCGCGGGCACCGCCCTCGACCGCGCGAAACGACGGCACCTCGACGAGCTCCACGGCCCTCGGCTAACACTGGAGTTCTTTTCGATAAAGGCGAGCAGCGACGGCAAGCCGCACAGTTTTGGGCAGAAGCTCTTACAAATCCTCCCATTATGCCGGCTGCCGCACCTGCTGCCCCCCCCCCCCCCTCCCGTCGTTGCCTTTGGCGACGACCGGGCGTGCCCCGCCTGTCTCGGGGCCGCCGCGCACGGCGGCAGGGTGGCGCGCCCGCAATTCCGCTTTATGTTGCACCAGGCGCGCCGCTCGCAGCCCATGCAGACCGCCGACGTCCACGCTTTGATGCGCCTGGCGTGCCGAGGCCTAGCCGACATTATCTCCGACTTCCGATTCGTTGGTGCAGACCGTGCTCCGGCGGATCCGATGATCACGTCGTCGGCCCGCGCGGCGGACTTTTGCCCTGCGGGCCCAGCGCCCGCGGCGTCAGCCTGCCTGGTGCCGGACGACGACTCGCCCGAGGAGACGCCGCCACGCAACAGGACATCACCCGCCCTCTTCGACCCGCATTAGCACCCGGGACACCGCGGTATTACCTCGCGCTGCTACCGGGCAACGCTTCCAGTTCCATGTGCCGCATGGCGCCCGCGTGGGCCCGCGCATTCCGCCGCGCCGACCTGCGTTCCCGCGGTGGCCTAACTCGCCAGATACATGCGCGAGCTCACCAACCGATTCATCTTATTATCCAGCGGGCGCCCTAGACGTCATCGTCAACTCCAGCGCCTGGGCTAACCTCAGGGGGCCGCGCTTAGCCGCGATCTTCGCCGACAAGGCCCAGGGGGCGAAGTTCGCGCCCGCGGGGGAGAAGCTGTTGACTTCACTCTATGCGGCAGGAATCGGCATTGGATCACCGGTTCCGCACTGGGAGGTACACTGCCCCATTTGGGGTAACTACCCGCGACGGCGCGACCGCGCGGCGCGGCGCGCGCGCCCCGGCCGTGGAGGGCGCGGGCTTCGATCTCCCTGCCTCTCTCGGTTTGCAATCAATGCAGTCCAACAGCGGGTTGGCAGAGACTAGCGCTGCCCACGAACGCCCGACGCGCGCCAGGCCTGGCGGCGACGAAATTCATTGGGGCGCTGGCGCCGTCCACTTTGACGCGGCATCGGCCCCGAGTTGATGTCGGCGCATCCCAGTCGACAACTTTGGCCGACTCCAGCCGCCCTCCGCGAGATTGCCGCCCAAGCAGCTCACGCTGATGGCAGCGGGCAGAATCAACCGGGCGACGACGCCAGCGATCGCAGCGACGGCCGCGAGTTCAGGGAGGTCAAGATCCAGCTTCCCGAGCCTCAACGCACATGCGCCAGCTCGGGGTTCACCGCAGGCCGCCGGCTACGACCTGCACGCCAGCGCGGACGTCAGCACCTCGACCAATGTCAGGAACCGGTGTCCACGGGCGCGGCCGCTCTCGCACCGCCGGGCACGTGCCTGCAGGTTGCCCCGCGCTCGGGATCCGCCCCCAGAGGCCTCGAGGTTGCGGGCGGCGTGGTGGGCCCCGACTAGCGCAGAGACAACGGGGCAATTCTGGCCAGCTCTCTCCCGCGGCCCCAGGTGGTCGAGCAAGGCCAGCGGGTCGTCCTGCTCATCCTGGAGCGCGTCGTCGACAATTGCGGAGACCCAACGTTCCTCCGACTCCTCGCGGGCATCAAGTCTTCGGGCGCGCCAGCGCGGCGCGCCTCGGCTGCTGCCCGATCCAGGGGCAGGGGGGCAGCTCAGCACCGCCGGGCTCTCAGCCCGCAAGGCTGGCCCAGCGGACCTGCCCCGGTAAATTCTGGCAGCTGGAAGGGGTCGTCCCGCATTGGCCCTGTGGGGGGCCGGAGTGCGTCATGCGCGCCGCATTCCACGCGGACGCCGCCAGGTCATCGTCCGACGGCGCATTTCCCGGCACAGGCCACAGCGCGCGGCGGATCGCGCGCGGCGCGAATCGGGGCGGACACGCGCAGGTCATGGGCGCAGGCACCAGGGTCGTGATCTCCTGCCTGCTCGGACCTCAGTGGAGGCGCCCAGCCGCGAAGCAGATGACCGACGCCGACGCGCCGCACCCCGCCCAGCAAGAGGCCTGCCACAAGCTTCTGGCCCCAGAGACCAAGCGTAGCGACGTAGCCTTCGCGATGGTCACGGGCTCGCCCATGCTCAATCAACTGTGCTGACGCAGCATCAGACTGGAGGAGCGCGCCGACGATTGAGCAACCGCGACCAGACGCGTACACTCGGGCCCGATGCGCCGCGACGCGTTGCGTCTTTCGCCCAACTGCAGTTGCGCTTCAACGCGCAGCAGTTCGCTTCGAACGGTGTGCCTTCGGCGAAATACAGCAGCAGCTTCAGCGCCAGACTCGAACACCTCTTCCTGCCCTATGGCGACTGGCAAGCGCAACGCCACCAGGCAGCACGACACAGCAGCACACCCAGGACCACGGGGCACCACGATACCGCGCGTTTTCAGGTTGCCAGAGAGCCCTCCGGGAACCTAAACCACGAGCGCGTTTTCAGGTTCCCGGAGAGCCCTCCAGGAATTCAAAGCACAGGCGCAACCAACCATAGGAGGCGCCCGACGGTGTCGGCACCCCTCCAAAGGCAAAGCGCACGAGCCAGACAGCGAAGATGAAGAGGGCCACGCGCCCAAATCACGAGCAAGTCATAGAGGACCTTTGCGAGCACTGCGGCGCTGACCATTGCTCTGGCCCTATGTCATCCCGGCTTCCCAGCCATAGGCGAGCTAAGTCACGCCGACGAGTGCGGCGACGATGGCGCCCGCGGAAGCCTCGCATCAGACATGCCGACGCGGTGGTTCGTCGGCCCCAGCCTCAGAGCGCCGTCTGGCGAGTGTTCAAGCGACGCAGCCTAC